AACCGCTGAACTGCTGATCTAGCAGTAGCCTGCAGTGCTGCATTTAACCACTGCGCCACCTTGGCGCAGTGGTTAAATCACTCACATCCTTGTCTCACAAAACCCACCTTTGCATGGTTGTGAGAACATAGGTAAAACAAACAAAAAAGCACATCACCCCTCTGCCCTCTGAATGGGACTCAGCGTGACTCCGATTTGAATACAAGCATACGGAGCCGGGCGGGGAGATAAGCACTTTCATTTGCATTCTCTGCGACCATGATGCTTTGCGAGGAACAATCCCCAGGGCTCCCCATGACTTTTTGCCGATTTTTCCTTTCGTGCTTAAAAAAAAAAATCAGGATTTTTTTAAAACGCCGTGGGACGCGAGACAAATTGTTCAAAAGAGGGACTGTCCCACCAAAAGCAGGACATCTGGTCACCTTATACTAGTAGATATGGTTGTTTTTTTCAACACAGGGCCCCTGTGGCCAGAGTCACATTCAGACTCTGATTAATAAACTCTGGTTAACAAGCCACAATCATGGGCGGCCATTCAATGCGATAAAGCATTGAACCACTTTTTGGATTTGTATTATATATGAACCTAGCTTCTGTCTGGGTTCTCTGTTTGTTTGTTTTTTCAAAGATATATAGCCTACTTGCTCCTGGAGTAGAAAATTGTATGTTTTTCTTCAATTCTCATTCAGTATTTCCTGTGATTGACAGAGTAGAGAGCTTTTTGTGCTCACCTACGGTGCTTTGGTCGCCCAACTGTGTAAGGATTATGAAAAGGATGAAGATGTAAACAAATATTTGGACAGCATGTAAGTATAAGATGGCAAGGAGCAGCATGACAAATTTGAGGAGAAATAGCTAGTTATCTTTTGCCTGTTCTTCAATCTGTTTAGTTGGGTGTAGATATCAGCTTGGAAAATGGCTGTAGGACTCTGTTTCTATTCTCCAACCTGTTTTGAAGCTGACCATCCAATCTTCTCTATTTTACTGAGCTCGGAATGCTGCAAAAATTCAGAGATCACTATAAGCCAATTAGTGTTGCTTTCAGCTGGCCAATAGGAGTGTGCAAAAATCTTCAAGCTATACGCCTTGAAACTAGTGAAAGTCCTAAGTCCGTGATGGCAAACCTTCAGCATGTGTACCAGAGGTGGCATGCAGAGCCCTCTCTGTGGGCATGTGCCCCATTGCCAGCTGCTCTTCTGGTTTCTGGCACATGCATGTGTGCACCGAAGCGCTGGAAACCCAAAGGCCAGCTCACTGGCACGCGCAATGGATCTTCCATTGTTTTATTTACATTATGAATTTTATCCTGCCTTTTTTCTACTATTTTTTATTTTATTCAAAAGAACGTTAAAATAAAAAACTAAAAAAAATCCAAAAATAGACTAAAACCCACAAAACAATTAAGACATTAATAAAGTGCATTAAAAAGGGAAAAAATCCCAACAGATACACACATGTTATTCCCCTAACTGAATACTGATTTATAAAGGTAAAGGTTCCCAACTCTAGGGGGCAGTGCTCATCTCCGTTTCAAAGCCGAAGATCCAGTGCTGTCCGAAGAAGTCTCCATGGTCATGTGGCCAGCATGACTAAATGCCGAAAGCATAAGGAACACTGTTACCTTCCCACCAAAGATGCTTCTTATTTTTCTACTTACATTTTTACATGCTTTCAAACTGTTAGGTTGGCAAAAGCTGGCACAAGTAAAGGGAGTTCACTCCATTATCCGGCACTAGGGATTTGAACTGCCGACCTTTCTGATCAACAAGTTCAGCGTCTTAGCCACTGAGCCACATTGTACATTACTACAATATTGGTCCCCATCCCTTGCAAAACAGCCTTCCTCCAAAATGTTTAAACTTGTAAATTTATTTGCAAATTATTGACTTCTCTTCTATATACTAAGTATATTAATGACAAAATAGTCAGCAGGAAGAAAATAATAATTAAAAAGACCAGGTGAAAGTTTCAAAATGCTCTGTTAACAAACTGTTATTGTAATCCGCTTGTACAAAATTTGCGATGGCATCTTATCTTATACACTGCTTCTTATATCTGAATTTTATCCTGCCCATATGCGTGGAACAATGTGTGCCATGTTTCCATTTTATACTCACATCAACTGTCAGGAAGTTCACCTTTTTTCTCTCTCTTTTCTCTTTGGTCAGGGGATACAACATCGGCATCAGATTGGTTGAAGATTTCTTGGCTCGCTCTGCTGTGAAGAAGTGCCGCAGCTTTTCTGAAACTGCAGACATAATTGCACAGGTACCCAAAGATGCTGATTCGTCTTCACTTGGCAAGGCTGAACCAAATTCTTACTACTTCATATCCAGTCTGACCCCCTAACAGCAGACTATAACCCAGAAAGAAAGATTCACAAGGTTAGCTTTAATGTGAAGAAGGTAAAGGTTACTATAGAGCAGGGGTGTCAAACTCAATTTCATTGAGGGTCCCATCAGGGCTGTGGTTGACCTCAGTGGCCGGGTGAGCATGGCTGACTGAGCGGACATGGCCAGCTTGATGTCACTCACTGGGCATGGCTGACTGAGTGTGTGTGGCTGACTGGGTGGATGTGGCCAGCTTGACGCCAGTCCCTAAACTGCTGGCATGTTTCCACTTTGGGTTCCTTCCATTGATAGACTGGTGGAAGCCAGTCCAATATTTCCTCTTGGCATTGGGTAGACCGGGCCAAAGCAACACGGGTAGACCAGGCCGAAGAGATGCTCACCTGATGTTTCCTCTTCTCATTGGGTAGACTGGGCTGAAGCGACACAGGTAGACTGGTCTGAAGTGACATGGGTAGACTGGGCCAAAGCAACGCAGAACAGCCCCTTACATCCAGGACAGCACCGCAGTCCAGGTCTGACCACATCTGGCCCATGGGCCTTGAGTTAGACACTCAGACTATAGAGAATCAGAGAAACTGAATAAGCCCAAACTTCAGTACTCATTTATTAGCAAGTAAGAGTCTCTGAGAGCGGTTTGTACCTCTTTTTCCAGAATAGAACACTGAAGGGCTACCCACCCTTTTCCCAAATAAGATTGACATTAAAACATCTATCTGCTCATCATTAGTAATATTTTCAGATGTCCTTATTTCTTTCTCTCAAAGAGATCTCTTTTATGTTCCCTTTCTTACATCTGTTAGACTCCAGTTTGGGTGACTGCCAGCGAATAGAAAGATTGGTGGGAAATTTGGAAGTTATAATCCAAAGCATCTGAAAGAGATTTAATTGGGAAGAGCTATCATAGCCTTGTGATTCTACCNTATTCAGGGATTGCTTTGCTTACCGTCCCATACACCTGTTTTGTGTTACCATCATCCTACTTTTCCTTCCTTTTCTCCCTCCCTTCCGTCTCTACTTTCTTCCTTCCTCCTCTCCTTTCCCTTTCCTTCTTCCCCTTCCTCTCCCCTATTCCTTGCTTCCCCTTCCTACCCGCTCTCCTTCCCTTCCTATCCTTCCCAGGCTTCCTCTCCTTTCCTCTTTCTTCTTTCTCCATCCTTTCCTCTCTTCACTCCTCTCCCTCTCTTCCTTTCCTCTTTTATTGTTGTGATAATCTCTTTTCCTCTTTCGTCTGGTGTATTTTTGAGATGGTATTTCAGCAAGCCCAGTTCTAACTTTATATTTACGATTTCCTTTTCCCTTTCCCTTGCTATAATTTCTAAACTGTTTTTCATCTGTGTCTCATTCTTTGAACATATACTTATATATTAATACTTTACTACTTTTCTCTTTCCCCCCTTTTAAAGTTAAAGTTAAAGTTTAATAAATTTATATGCCGCACAATCCCGAAGGACTCTGGGCGGCTTACATAAAAACAATTTAAAGGAATACTCTTCCTCCCTCTTTTTCATTTAATAGTGTGTCGTCTGGGTTTCTCTCTCTCTCTCTCTTGGCATTTATCAATTATGAGGCCACTGCCGTACCCCATAGAAGTTTTCTATAACATTATGTGGGTTGTGTGTATATGTTTACATCATGTTCTCATCAGATGCTAAATAATAATAACAATAAGTGGCATTCATGAATTTTGACTGGCATGCTACTCTTTTAGTAAAATCTGAGGCAATAGATGGCATAGATGCCTGAAATAATTTCTTCCCTTCTCTACCTATATCAGTCCTCCCTCCCTCCCTTTTTTCCTACCTTTTGCCAAGGATTCCCATTCTGGTTACACAAGGATGTGATCTTAGAAGTATAGTATATTTTGATGAATGCATGACAAGTGCTATGATTTCATTAAAATATATTTAACAGTACAAAGAGTAAGATATAATCTCTCAGCCATGTCCAGTGCAAGTAGAATCAGGGAAAGAAAAAGATGTTATTGGTCTATATTTTTTTTGACTTTTCTGACTTACACCTGCTTTTAGGTTTAAACTTTTCTAGTTCTTTGAATCAGTTTGGCAGTGAATTGTCTTTAAGATGATAAGTTGCTTTAAAGAGTTGGTTTTCAGCTGAGCTAATTTTCAATGAGGCAACCCCCTGCCTCCAAATATAGATGTTCTGCATCTATCTATATTTGAATGGTCTAAGCAGACATTTAATTGAAGATGTTGTCATTTTGCCTCTCAAATAATTTCAGCTCCTGATATTTTTGACAGGTCTTCATTTTTTTTCTAGGCCACCAGGTGGCAGCACAAGGAGAGGCAATATTTTTAAATTTTTGGTCTCTCTGCCCCACCTCAAATAGAAGTAAATTTCATGCCATAGCATTATTTCGCAATCTCAGGGGAATTCTCGGTCTTAAAGTCCATCTATCTAAAAGTTGCTGGGATTGAGAAACACAGCACTGTATTATATTGCCCAAAAGAAAATATGCATTTGAAGCAATATTATATATAATATTTTATATATACATATACATAATAAGTTTATGTATTAATGTACATATCCTATCTTTATAATTTTAATAAATAATTCAAAGTGACTAATATAGCTAACACTCTATTCTCCTCCTATTTTCCCCATAACAACAAGTCTGTGAGTTGGACTGACAGAAAGTGCCTGGCCCAAGTTACCAGAACAGTTTTCAGGCCTAAGGTGGGGCTAGAATTCACCATCACCTGGTTTCTAGCCTGGTGCCTTAACATGACTGATTCTGGTGTAAACCTAGTTCCTAACTCCATCTAAGAGCTAAATTCCATTGTGCTTCTTATTGGTATTATTTCTCACTAAGTAGTTTATTGCTATTTTTTTTCTTTTGGTTAGAGAATTGCCTTTTCAATTCATTATACAATGTTTTTTAAAAAGTAAAAAAAACTGTTTTTAAAAAAATCAAGATCTTTTGTGCTCCTTCTTCTTTTACTTCTTTTTATGTTGTAGGACTGGCATTTGCCCACCATTTCGTCCTCTGCATCAGCTCATCACATGGTATGCAGACTGACTAATGCATCTATCCTAATTTTTGTCCATGAGTCCTGGGATATTTAGGGGATTCATACCAGTTATAAGGTGACCAGATTTTAACATTGGTAAAGAGGGACACCATTGACCGGGGGGAGAGGGGGAGGTTCTTGATTAAAAATTTTTTTAAAATCTGGACTTTTTAAAAATGCTGTGGGACACGGGACAAATTGTTCAAAAGCGGGATGTCTGGTCATCTTAATTTAGATGCCCCTCAAAGGCAAAACTCAGGCGGCTGAATTCCACAGGGGGAGGAGTGAAGGGGGGGATTTGAAGGGCAGCCCAAAGCACCATCTGTCTAAATTTGCATCAGGCAGGCAGTAACATTTTTATAGACCATGATCAGAGGAGCAACAGATCCTATGGAGATCAGTCGTAGGACAAATTGTTCAAAAGAGGGACTGTCCCGGCACAAGCGGGACGTCTGGTCACCTTAATCATTCACCATTGCTCAATTCTTGTAAGCCATTAACCATGAA